CTATTTATAAACGACTAACTAAGCTAGATTACCTTTATTACCTACTATAAACGACCTACTATCGTTTACGCTTACTTTAGTAATATCTAGCTCTACTCGGTAGTACGCTATAGTTCTAAGTCTAACTACTCTACCTTATCTACTAGTAGCGACGTAATTATTCGAGTTATATCTATAGTAACCCTAAGGACTTCTACTCTAGTCCCCTACGTATCTTTCTTATTATTACGAGGTATACTAAGCTCTATAGACTATAGTAAGGTCGACCTACGTAGGTATACCTTATCTACCTCTACCTAGTTACCTCTTAGTAGTATAAAGATAAAGTCGTTAAGGTAGTAGTCGTTACTAGCGATTCGTAGTATTCGGTAGATATAAAGCTAATATAAGCCTTCGGTAAAGAGATTAAAAAGGAAAGGAGCGGTACGTAGTCTAAATAGTAGGTAATTTTCGATATATCCGTTCCCTATCTATTTAAAAGTAAGAAGTAGTCTATACTATTTAGTAATCGGTACTATCCGAAAGGCCGATTTAACGTCTCTTTTCATAACTATATAGTTCTACTCTACCTCTAATATTAGCGATAGTATACTCTCGAAGGAGTTATACTTAATAGAGCTACGCTTAATTAGTATATAGTCGTTTACTAACCTCTCTCTCGGGTACGAGAGATCGTAGATTCGTTATAATCCGCTATCGTACTTCGGTACTAAACTAAGTAGTAATATAAAGACGCTTCTATATAGGAGATATAGCCCGGCCTACGGCTCTATTTATAGCTCTATAGATAGAGGTAGCTTTACTAATAGTAGGTAGCTAGTATAAGCTATATCTACGAGCTTATAGAGTTTGTAGTCGCGTACTAAGGATATCCTATTATAAGCTAGGTTAGTAGCTATCTAATTAGTAATCTCGTTCCTATTAAGGTTTAATAACTAGTAGTTTACGCTCTTTCGTCGCTATATCTTAGTTTACTTTAAGTTAATACGAGTCTCTACGTACTTAATACTAATATCGGCTCCGAAGCTAATAATATACTAAAGGATTCTTAGTAATTCGCCTAGATATTCGTAAAGCGACTCGAGCTACCTATCTACTACTAGTAGCGTTAGCGAAGGGTCGACCGGTATTAATAAAGAGTAAATATCGTAGATTAGCGTCGTATTTAGTCGTACGCCTATTAAAACTAGCTCCGGACCCGGGTCCGTATACTCTAGATATATTATTATGTCCTCTAGATATCTTTCTAGTAAAAGTAGTAGGATTACGCTCGGAGCGGTATCGATTAATCTATAGTTATAGTACGATAGCTATAGCTCGAAGAAGACTAGTATATCGCTTAGTTACGTCCCCTTCGGACGTTTACTAGCTAACTTTAAACCCGCTACAGCCTTATTAGTATACTTATACTTCGTATATCTATCCTTCTTATAGTATAAGTAAACGTACTTACGCTAGTACGTATAGCTTCTAAAGGTATACCTATCTTTATTCTAATTCTTATAAGGCTCGTATACCGCTCTAATACTATTCTCGATATCCTTCTTCTTATCGTCTACTAACTACTTCTAATCTATACCCTTCTACTACTAGTATTACTTACTCGCAGAGCCCGTATCTAGTAAGTTATCTCTACGTTTGTTCGTAGTCGGAGTAGCTAGTAATATAACCGATTAAGTAGACGAGGTTAACGCTATAGTCGCTCGTATTGTCTTTAGATACTCGTACGTATTATAAGGCTAAATTTTTACGTCTATTCGCTTTAGTATAGTCTATAGTAAAGCTAGATACCTCTCTACGTACGCTAAATCTATTATAACTATAGCTACCTTACGAACGTATCGGTTCTAGTCGTATACTTCGTAAAGAGTACGTATTCGTTATATAAAGTCGCTTAAGCGCTATAGTATCTTTACTAGGCTACTACCGAGAGCGTTTAACGTATATAGAGTAATAAAGTAAGTCGTAAAGATAAGTATATAGTAGACCTACGTACTATAACTATCTAGTACAGCCTACTCTTTACTAATCTTATAATCTATATACCTACCTTAACTCGAGTTAAAGTAATCTTTAATTACTCTATTTTCTCTAGCTCTCTATTCCTTTAGAAGTAAGTATAGTAAATCTAATACTCTAAAGGTTAGATCGTATATATCGTTAATATATCTCTTATCTACCGTATAGTAAAGTATAGAGTTAATAAATGTCTAATATATAGGATTAATCGTACCTAATAGCTAAGTAGGTACTCCTTCCTACGCCGTTTATTACTATTATAGTTAAGCTAGCTACGGTACGGATACTACTAGTACCTAATAGTATACTATAAGGATAGCGGTAGGAGTATTTAGTAGTAGTAGTTAAATATCTACTAGGTTTACTAGTAGTAGGTTAAGAATACGATTAAGATTTATATTATCGTCCCTACTTACTATAGTCATTTCGTCGTCGTCGTCGAATTACTACTATTTAAATTAATAGTCTTAGTTAATTAGGTCGTCGTTATTATCGTACTAACCGAATCTAGATTACGCCTAGGCCCGGCCTATTATAGTAACCCTATCTCGGCTCCTTCCTCTCTAAGTAACGCTACGTACTATATAGTCGTTAGTTAAGAGCGTATACTATTAATCGGTCGCTAATACGACTAAGAAAATAACTCCTACGCTAATCGTCGTCGTCGCTAGTAAACCGCGTACTACTTAGTAGAGTAAAGGATACTAAGATATAGTAAGAGAGGGAGCCGGTATTAGCCCTTATATATAGACTAACTAATACTTTTTATAGTAGCTACCTCTACTCTATACTAGTTTAAGTATTTAGAGGTATACTAATCTATACGACTTATAGTACTACTTATTACTAGCTAGTTATACTAATAGCTATATAGTTAGGCCTAAACTATATTATCTATAAGTAGTACCTAGTATATAAATAGTAGAAATCTCTATCTAAGCTAGCTTATCTCTTTACTTCTCTCTAGCTACTAACGTATTATACTTCTTAATCGGTACTATAGGTAGTATTAATTTACTTACCTACTCTCTATATCTATTTATATATAGAGTACGTATCTACGTAGTAGTAGGGTATACTAATATATACGACTCGTAGTACTATATAGTATTAGTTAGTCGGACTAATAGCTATACTTATTAGTCGTTAACTATATTACTTATAAGTAGTGTCTAGTAATAGTATCTACGTAGATTAAAAGAGTATCTTCTCGTATAAGTAAGGCGCTAAAGGATCTATAAGTACTAAAGGCGTAAAGTATTCGGTCTATAGCTAGCTAAGGTAACTTCCTAAGAGATACGTAGTAGCCTTCGTACTAGTTAAATACTAATGTATGTCTAGTTTAGGCCGTTTAGGTAAATACTAATAATCTATTCTCTACTAGTTCTATCGTCCGTATAGGTCGTAGAAGTATTATAAGATAGTTTATAGTTTACTAGCTAAATATTCTAGCTAGTAGAGTAGGTAGGTATTTAGCTAGTAGCGTAGCTAGTAGCTAGAGTAGTAGGTAGATAGGTAAATAGTAAGTACTTAGATTAGTAGTATAAGAGTCGCTTACTTTACTTCTCCTTAGAGAGAAAAAAGATAACTATGTATTTCTCCTCTAGATATATTTGTAAACTCTATATTACGCTATAGAAGCTAAGTTAGAAGCTAGGTTAAGCTAGTTTCCGATTATTTTCTAACCTATCTACGATATTTAAATCTCCTAGTTTAATTATAGATCTTTTACTATAATTATAGGTAGATACTATATATCTGATTAGTAAGCTTACTACGCGATAATACTATATCTAGTAGGAATAAGTATAGTCCTTGTAATAACTAATAATGTCTAATTTATAAAGTATATATATATATATATATTAGTAATTACTAGTATTAGATTCTAGGTATAGTAATATTTTAATAATCCTCCGTACAAGCCAACTAATATAGTTATACTACTAGTATATGCCTATATTCTATAGTCCTTCTATTCTTTCGACTAGCTCGATAGCATTCGCGCGAATTTTAACGAATCCCGCGGCGGGGTCTTAGTTGCCTAATTAGAGTTTGCCCTATTTTTGCGGCAAAAGTCCTGTGGCGATCGCAACGCGAGCTCTTTTGCCACCTGTGCCTCTGTACTTGATTCGGAGCGACTCAACTTCCTGGTCGGCATGCCCGTGAATATCAGCCATGGCCCTCACATTGCATTCAAGTCCAAAATGGATGCCTCGTGTTAGCGCGCTCTCTCTAGCTAGTCCATATCGGCAGTCCTCCACCGCGGCCATATCGAATCGCGCTCGCCTGCGTTTCGGGCCCAGCGATGATCGCAACCTGGACCACTTCTTGCGGAAAGCTGAGCAGCGGAGTCAGCGTCGAGCCAAGGAGCGAGAGCGAGTATGTGTGCTACCCCCGGCTCTCCGCGAGAGTCTGCTAATGGAACAAACACCTTGCACAGATACTCGAGGAATCTACACAAAAAGTCCCCAATTTCTCAAGCAAATTGATTGAACATGGTCATGGACGTCTCAGACGATACATTCCCACGATTATGCAGATCAACATTGGAAAGTTCTGCAATCTGAACTGTCGACATTGTCATGTTGAATCTGGGCCGACACAAACGCGCGAAAACATGGATCTCCAGACCGTAGAACGATGTCTCAATTTATTAAAGACGAGGTATATCTGACACTTCAATACGATATATACCGAGCCGGCACAGTCTGACAGCCTGTATAGTCCATCGATCGATACCGTGGATATCACCGGCGGAGCGCCCGAACTAAATCCCTATTTCAGGACTCTCGTAGCTGAGGTACGACTGACTCCCCGCGTTTCTTGCGTCGGCTCACACGCTCCAGGCACGAGCAATGGGCAAGAGGGTCATTGACCGATGCAATCTTACCGTCCTTTTCGAAAAGGGGCAGGAAGACTTGGCAGACTTTCTTGCCGAGCGGAAGGTCGACGTGGTGGCTTCGCTACCTTGTTACACTCAGGACAACACCGACAAACAACGCGGCAAGCAGGTATTCAATGACAGGTAAGCTCTCTTTGAATCGATAGCTTCGTTCTCTAACATTCCGCGACAGTGTCACTGCAATCAAGCTGCTCAACGACAAGGGCTTCGGTCGCGGCTCTGAACAGACTTCCCTTAGACTGGACCTTGTATACAATCCGCTAGGCCCGTCTCTCCCTCCACACCAGATTCAACTGGAAGCAGATTACAGACATCGCTTATGGAAAGATCACCAGATCACCTTCAACTCGCTCCTTGCTATAACCAATATGCCTATCAAACGATTTGCCGACGACCTCTACCAGACAGGGCAATACGCATCCTATATGGGACTACTCGCGAATGCTTTCAATCCAAGCACCGTCCCGGCTCTGATGTGTCGGAATACCGTCAACGTTGCGTGGGATGGTAAGATCTATGACTGCGATTTCAACGCTGCGTTGGAGCTCAACAGCGCAATGAGCGACGCCGAAGGGAACAGGACTCGGAGAGCTGATATTTGGGCAGTCGGTATGTTCAATCCATAGCAGTCCAGGACAGATGGTAATTCCGCTAACTCAAGTCGCAGAGAACCTGTCTGACCTGCAGAATGGCTTGATCCGTACGAACAAACATTGCTACGGCTGTACCGCGGGCTCGGGATCCAGCTGCGGCGGTAATCTCGCCTGACGAGCTTCTCCAATGACATGTACGATAGCAAGTCAGGGAGAATGAACTCCTAAAGTAGATTCATGTTCAAGCCAGTCGTCTCGACGTGTGATTTTCGACATTCGTTCGATCGCATTACGTTTGTTGCGTGAGCGAAGCTTCGGACCCATTCTTGTCTTTATATGATTTGGCGGCGATATATCATCTCACACCGCCCTCCTGGTCTCCATGACGCCGTTCAAATACTCCATTGTCCGAGGATATGACAGCATCTTCGATGTTCGGTCACGCCATAACCTGTCTAAATCGTTCGGCTCGTCGACATCTGGCAATGCCTCGGCCGGCTCACATACGAGCCCCGACTCCTCCAATCGCTGAAGCTGCATTCGTCCTGTCTGATCGCTGGACCATGTGATGTTCGAAAAGACGATCTCGCGATGGCATCGCAGTGGAAGGGTTAGTAAGACGTAGCCGCCATCGATTGCGGGGATCATGTGTGCACATTTTGCAGATCGAGACACGCTTCGCATCGATTTCGAGACCGATTGCGGTGTCAGGTCCAAGCAGTCCATTCCCATGAACGTGACGGTGGGGATCACAGTGTCCGAGGGTTCAGAGGTGAATGTCGTCTCGATGTGCTGTATTGCCGCGCTGAGACGAACACCGAGATCTCCATTCGGTGGCTGAGGATGGAGCTCCCATATGTCAGCTAGAGACTCTTGCCTGAGGAGAGATCGCAGGTCGGGTGCGGCGCTCTCGGGCGTGTAGCAGAGAATGCGACGGCAGTGTGGAACAGAGGACATGAGATGCATGAGGTCGAGCAGGGCGGCCCGCGCAAACTCGCTCGCACCCTCCTCCCCGAGACGCGGGATCAGGCGCGTCTTGACATGCCCGGGCAGAGGGACGCGTGCCAGCAGTACGATGTGCGATGTGTTCTCCATGGCCAGACGACAACCTCGACAGACTCTGAAAGAGCTTGTGAACAGTTATGAATGGTTATAGTATGAGTGATTATCAATGATTATCAATGATACTAATGAAGAGCTGGACGAGTTCACTCGTAGAGCGTGCCAAGCCGCGGAGCCAGGTTCTTCCGCTCCGTCTCGCGTGACGTATAGCCCCACACGAATCGCGATCCCTTTCACGTGCTTGAAGTCTGTCTACGATACTCTCATCCCTCATACTCTTCTTATACATGATATATACGCCTTTCTTGTATCGGATTTGACCTCCAACCTCGTCACTCGTCAACGGCCGCCCTGCACACCTTCACCAAATGGAAGCTCCCTCACATTCCATCGCTGTCGTGATCCCCACGCTAAATGAGGTCTTAGCTTTGCCGAAGACGGTCAGACGCCTGTATCAGTCGGCCAACAATCCTGATTCCATCGCAGTTGTCATTGTCGACGCGTCGCCCGATGAAGCACCGACAAGAGCCTGCCTGAGCCCCTCGTTGTCCACAGACCCTTCGCTCCATCTCGTGCATTACTCCGGTCAGCCCTCCCGTGGCCTGCAGATGAATTTCGGAGCGGCACACGCCAGCAATATAGCACCAGAGACATCCGTGCTGCTATTTCTCCACGCCGATACGCTTCTCCCGCCGTCATGGGACACTACTGTCCTGGATGCCCTCTACAGGTCGCCGAATCCACCTTTGCTAGGCTGCTTCAAGCTTGCTCTTCCACCTCCTCTGTCCCTGAGCCTGCGCATCATGCTGTGGTGCGCCAACAAACGTGCTGAACTCGGGAACTTGCCATACGGCGATCAGTGTTACTTCATAACAAGACGCGGCTTCCAACAGGTGGGCGGCTTTCCACCGGTGCCTATCATGGAGGATGTAGGCCTGTTACGGCGGGTTTCTCAACACGGCGGGCTCATCAGAGTCGTCGATGTATGCGTCGAGACCAGCAAACGCCGCTGGGAGAGGAACGGCGTAATATGGAATACGATACTGAACCAGTTTTTCATGACGGCTTGGCTTTGCGGCACACCTCCAGACATCATTTATCGGTGGTATTATGGCCCACGAATGCTTAATACAAAGAAGCGAGATTGACACCGCGCACGCGCGAAGGCTTTCTCTATATCCATGTTCATGGAGACCACGAAGCTACTAGCTGTGGGCTTTTCCACCCTCGGGAAAAGCTGTTCCCTACAAGATCGTCCGCGCGTAAGCCATGAGCCCGAGACGTAGGGAGAGCGGTACAAACGAGATCGATAATGTCTGGAGCGCACGGCACAGGACCCCTGATATAGACAGATTTGCGTAGGCACGAAGCTGGTGCTTGACGCACAAGTTTGTCGTACTCGTTCCTTACAATGTAATCTAGCGTAGACCGTGAGAACAGCGTGCTCTGAGTCACCCAGCTCTATGAATCTTGCTACCCAGTGGCTTAGCACTATGAGCTACCCTCAGTCTTGCTTTCCTCCTCTCCAATTGCCACCGCTCGACTCAACGACGCGATCTTTTTCGAGAGAACTTTGATACTCGAAGTACCCATAATATCCAGCATTGGCACGTCCGCCTTGACGTCCCTAACCAGGAATGTTCTGAACTCCATCGCGACCAACGAGTCGATACCGTTTGCGCTCACGCTCTTGTCGGCGTCGATGTCGTCTGCAGACACAGACAGTAAGCTTGCAAGTTTTGCAACAACTGCATCCGTCACGATAGACGCGGCCTCGCTCAAGGTCTTCGCAACACCAAGGAGCGTCTCGACGGCGACCGAACTATCCTCTCCGGAGGAAGCGGCACCATTAACGCTTTGGGCGTTGAGGTGAGCAAACAGTGGAAAATCCATGAATGTCGGCGTCGGCATTCCCTTCTTCCTGTACCGGTCTCTATTCGAAAGACCGGTGACAATCTGTGCAGCAGCCTTGTGTCGGCTGTCCATCGCATACTCAATCATTGCGTGGAGTTCCTCTTCTCTGATCCGCTCTAGCTCAACGCTGATGCCTTTGTTGATCGTCACTCGTTCGGCGTGCTCCGCAACGTATCCCACCGAAAGGATAGCCCCTACATCTATCGTCGAAGCTGCGAGACCCCGGCTTCGTCGGTGATGAGCAAGAGCATCTTGGAACGTGTTTCCTGCAGCGTAATTCGATTGCCCGCGATTGCCGAGTATTCCGGTAGCAGAAGAAAGCATGACAAAGTGGTCGAGATCGCCGGGCAAGAGCGTATGCAAGTTCCATGATCCTGGCACTTTAGGGTTGACAGCCGCCATGTAGGCTTCATACGACATGTTCTCAAAGATCGAGTCCTGCAACTTCATAGCGCCCTGGACGAGGCCTTTGATGGGCGGCATGGCAGTCTTGGACTCTTCGAGAACAACCTTCAGACGCTCCGCATCGCTGACGTCGCATTTCACGATGTGGACCTTGCATCCCGAGGCCTCGAGATCTGACTTCATGTCCGCGACTGCGGCTGTAATTGTGCCACTGCTGGAAAGGAACAAGAAGTGTCTGGCCCCTCGACCAGCCATCCATCCGGCGATGCTTCGACCGAGACCGCCGAGGCCACCACTGAGTACATAGGTTGCATCTGGATTTAGTTGGAACTGCGGTGGTTGTGCCGGTACAATAGGCACGATGTCGTCGGGCTGTGGCACAAACACCATCTTGCCCACGCCTTTGCCCGATTGTAGAAGTTGAAAGCCTTCTTGAAGCTTCGACAGCGGCCAGACGGTCGTCGGTCGGGCTGGCTTGACAACCCCTTCGCTCCAGAGTCTCACGGTGTCGTCGGTCAGCCTCTTCACAAGCAAGGGTCTCTTGCTCATCATCGAGACAAGGTCCACGCAAGTAATGGATGTTGCATGAAGCAACGGGCGCAGTTCGAGTTTGGAGTTGGCCTGGATATCTTTCTTGCCAATTTCGATGAATCGGCCAAACGGTGCCAGGAGGGCCCAGGAAGCACGCAGAGCCTGAAAAAAAGTCAGCATACTGGGTCAAGCGTCTAGGACACGTCGCTCGTACATCTCCAGCCAGTGAGTTGAGGACCACGTCAACACCCTCGCCGCCAGTCATCCGGCGTACACCCTTTGCGAACGAGAGGTCTCTGCTGGAAAAGATATGGTCTTCAAGAATGCCGTGCTCTTCGACCAAGATCTATTGCCAGTTAGTACATTGACCATTGATGAAGATGGGTCTTGAACAACTCGCCTTCCGCTTCTCCGGTGTCGAGACGGTCGCGAAGATCTCTGCACCAACATGCTTCGCGTAGTTAATCGCCGCTTGGCCGACACCACCAGCGGCGGCATGAATGAGCACTCTCTCTCCCTGGGCCAACCGCGCCACATCACGAAGCGCATACAACACCGTCACATAGACCGCTGGCAGACCAGCAGCCTCTTCGTAGCTGAGCTCATCGGGGATCTTCGTGACAACGGACTGGTCGACTCTACCACGGGTGTGAAAGCAGCCTAGACGAGATCAGTTCATGTCTGGTACGTGATGGATGACTTCTGTCGTCCCAAATCCAAGTTACCTACCGACGTTATGCAGGCCGGTTATGTATGCAACTCTGTCGCCGACTTTGACGTCCGTCACCTCTGGACCGACGCGGGAGATGACGCCTATAGATAATTGCAATCAGCTTCATTCTTCTCCCAGTCACACACGTTCCGTCATACCCGATGCCTAGAAACGTAGTTAGCTTCACGTACATTGTTTTCAGTTCACGGGCGTCTGATCATACCTCACAACCGATGCTAATTGCCATATGCTCGCCCATGGCGATCATCAAATCTCGAAAATTAAGACCCATCGCCTTGATTTCGATTTCAACATGCGTTGGGTCCAACGGCATGTTATAGACGGGATCAGTCACCCACTCCAACTTGTGCAACAATCCTGGAGACGCGGACGATAGCTTGACAGGTCTTCCTGCGTCCTTCCACGGCATCATCACCGGCTTCGGCGTGCTGAATTTGGATGCCAAAAATCCGTTTGCGCCAGCGCTGTCTTTGAGTCGAGTAGTGATGAGCTTGCCGCCGGTGAGAGTGTACTCTCCGTTCGTCTCTTGGGGCGTCAGGGCACCGGCAAACTGGATTCGACATAGGCCCGCGATTGACTCGGAGAGCGCTTCGACATCAGGCTTGGGCTCTGCAATCGAGAGAGTCACCAAATTGACGCCATCCAGATCCCTCTCCCACCGGACTGTGCGAAGGAGGCCAGTGGCCATGCCGAAATTTGGGTTCTGGATATCATCGGCCGTAACCCACAACAGCCCTTTGCAGACGGTGAGCATCCGGCGGATGCCTTCGTACTCATCTACCGTCGGGGAGGCAAGTGCCGATCGCTCTAACTCGACTACTGAGATACACAGCGTCCGGCTCAAGTCGGCATCTTTCAGCTGGTCGAGATGCAGGATTGCAATCTTCTGTGTCCCTAGTACTGTTGCAAGCCCTGCCCGCAATCTTGAAATCAAGCCATCGGAAGTTTGGACAGCTGGAAGACTCGTGATGATAGCCGTTTCTTCCCAGGAACCTTCCCTCGAAGCGGCATCGGCGGTGGCAATGGCACCCGCGAGCATTAGACTCTGAGTATGCAGTGCAGGCTCAAGGCTGTTGGGCATCTCCAGCTCGACGCCGGAGAAGCCCGAAGCACGAAGGAGTGCATTCCACTCCGAGGCGGGCACGAACGGACTCCATCTCCTTGCGCCCTCACTACCGAGCCACCAGCCAGGAAGTTGGCCAAATGCGAGCGCGGACCAGAAGTAGTCCTGTCTCATGCCCTCTTGAATCAGGAAGCGGCCACCGGGCTTCATCAATTTTCGTAGATTGGTCAATGTACTCTTCAGATCTGCCGTGGCATGTATAACATCTAGAGGCGATAGTCAGAAGGAGAGCAGGTGTTTTGGACAGGAAATGGTGTCTTGAACATAGCACTCCACTTACTTTGCGCGACAATCAAGTCATAGCTGCCCAGATCAAAACCCTGCATGCCGACATCCTTCTCGGCGTCGAGAACTTTGTAGTCCATGATGCCGTGGTAAGCCTTGAGCTTTTCTCTTGCCTTCTCAAAGAAAGCTGCCGAGATGTCCGTGTACGTGTACTGGACAACGCTTGAACGGAGAACTCGGCCATCTTCCGCAAGCGGTGCAAGAGTCTCGATGATTGCTTTGGTGCTAGAACCAGTCCCTGCTCCGATTTCCAAAACTCTCAAATTAGTCCGGTTGTCGGCCAGGATCTGGAGGAACTGCGCTTGCTGGCCGGGGAGGTCTCCAAGATCCACCAAGTCAGCATACACGTGATCCAGGATGTCGTCTTGCCCAAACATGAGATGGAGAGGGTCGACTTCCTTCTTCAATACCTTCACAATGTTGGAGCCCATGCGATATGCAAGTCGACCTTCGGCTTTATAGCCTTCGATTTGGTTAAAGAGCGTCTTCTTGGCGGCAGCATCGTCCTTGACCTGGTCAAAATCTGACTTGGACATGCCAGAGACTTGATCTTCCTGCATCCATTTATCGAGCTGCTCAAGCCACTCGAGGTATCGAGCCAAATGGCCTTCTGGAACGACGGGCGGATCCGCCTTGTTGAGCTCTTGGAGAGCGTCATGGACCAAAAGCATCGTTGCAAGCTGCAGACGTTGCACCCATTCGGTCGTCAAATCGCCGGCCTGTGACACCCTCGTGTTACATTGAACATCCGCTAGAGTGATGGTCTCAAGATAGGGCACCCAGGTCAAATCGTGGCACAGCTCTCTTGCGAGACTGACCTGCTGATCAGCAGAGTCCAATGGAGTTGCACGGATGCCGAGAATAGCAACTCGAGCGTCTCCGGAACCAGCGTCCCATGCCAGCACATCATTATCGTACTTCTCAAAAGCGACTCGCTTGGTCCGGCCATGAACACGATACTGAGCGCCTGGCTCAGAATGCAGGTCTGCGGACATCCTACAAAGAGAAGGAAGAATGTGAGCAGGGTTTCAAGACGTATGTGTACTTCCAGACGTCGTTTCACTTACCAGACTTCCTCGATGAATGTCGGCACGGCTGGTCCCTCCAAAGTCTCTCCTCCAAGGAAGTCCATGATCGCGCCCAACGCAAAATGCATCATACTGTCCATGGTTGCTGGGTGGATGAGATGAGGCGACATGTGCCCCTTCGGCATTGCCTTGGCAACGTCCGGAACAGTCACTTTTCCAAGGACTGCTCCACCACGACTGCCAGTGCCAGTAGTCTCAGACCCATTCCGGAACAGAGGTCCGAAATTCAATCCGTTTGAGGCCATGTTCTCATAAGCACGCTCAATGTCGAACGAGCCCTGACATCTTGCTTCAGCTTCCAGAAGTTGCTCTTTTCTGGCCTTGGCTTCTTCCCCTGCCTCTCTGCCACCATCCACTGGGCCAGTAGGAGCGTCATAGTCAACGGCGATATAACCGGTACAGTGCTCGATCCACTCGTCGCCGAGGGGATTGTATGAGTCGATTTGAAACCTTCTCCAGGTTGAGGAAACGCCGACGCTGGATTCATCAACACGAGCCATGCTCAACATCACCTCGACGCCTTCTTTGCCGTCTGGAACGATCAGCGCTCGCTTGATAGAGATTTCTTTCAGGCGGAACCCAGTAATTTCCAAATCTTGATGAGCAATCTGCCGCATTGCCTCTACGGCAGCGATGATGTATCCAACGCCGGGATATACGTAGGAGTCAGTGACGAGATGGTCGCGAAGCCAAGGTTGCTCTCCGAGTCGCAAGAAGTTCCTCCAGCGAGGCGCTTCCGAGTTCCAGTCGGCCACCGGGGCACCGAACAGGTCGTGTCGTGGCTCCTTTCGAAGGCGATGATTGCGAGACAGCCGACTCTCATACCACAGCTTTTGAGAATGATTGAAGACATAGCCTGGCAGATCTACGAGGAGCGAGGGCTTTCTCGGTGCATGTCCGGCATCCCAGCTCTCATTGACCAGTTGCAGATTGACGGGATACCCTCTGCTCCACAGATGGCCCACCGTACTGAGAAGAGACTCTGCGCCCGGCTTGGACCTGTTGAGGAGGGCATGTGAAGTGATGATGGACGCTCCAGGCTGGCTTGCTAGTATGTCTTTGATCGCGCTCTGAAGAGCCCCATGGGTACCGAGCTCCACAATGGTATCGACAAAGACGTTGCCAGCGCTGGAGTCTATCTTCAGTGACGCTTGACCCTTTTGCGCCGCTCGAAACAGTGTGGTGCTCAGACCATCAGAGAACCTGACAGGCGAGATGAGATTCTTGACCCAGTATTCGCCATTCAAGACTTCCTCCTCTGCAAGTGCTCCAGTCACCGTCGAAAACATTTGAGTCTTGTTTGGCTCGCCAGGTGTGATATTTTGGAGCATTGCGTGGTACTCTTTGGCAATTGCTTCCATATGGTGACTGTGATAGGCTTTAGTGATGTTCAGCTTGCGAGCGAAGATGCTCTCTTCTTGAAGCGTCTGGCACAAGCGAGATACGATGTGCTCATCCCCAGAGACGGTACAGTTGCGCTGGCTGTTGATACAAGCCACTACAGCTTTGCCATCGCCGCTCTTGTTAAGCTCATCCAGTCTTGCTTGAGCATCCGGTTGCGACAGAGCCACAGCAGCCATTGTACCCTTGACTGCTGTTTGCGTGCTGGAGACGATGCCGCGGTAGTAAGCCACTCTCCACGCAGACTCTCTATTGAGTTTACCGGCAGAATACCCAGCAGCGATTTCACCTGAGCTGTGACCAATAACCCGAGCAGGTAAGATATTCCAAGACCTCAGAAGGTCCACCATCGCTACCTGTATAGCCGTACAAGCGGGTTGCGCAAGCCAAGGTTCGTGAATCTGAGTATCCTCTTCGCTCTTGGACAGCTCGTCGATCAGTGACCATTCAGCGCCCAGGGATCTGAAGAAGAATGAAGCTTCTTCGAGGCTCCGTCTGAAGACTGGATATCCATGCAGCTCGCGACTCATCCCGGCGTACTGGGCTCCTTGACCGGTGAAGACAAATGCTACGGATAGGGTGCCTCTGGCTCTGACGGGCTTGGTCAGCTGAGACGATAGGCTCTCTGAAAGTCCGGGTCCATGAAAAGCCATCAGTGAGCTTCTCCATCCGAGTTGAGACCTCTTGTGCATTGTGAAAGCAAAATCGCGCACCAAGTCGGGTCCTTGTGTATATTTGCGTTTGTTCTTTGCGAGGTGCTCGGCCTGCGCATTCGCACTTCTTCTGACTCCTTCCTCGTCGAATGCCGATATGCCAACGAGCTGAGGAGGACTTGCTATCTCGTCCAGAAGCTGCCACTGCCGATGCGAGTGGTGCCCGTTCGTAATGATTGTAGAAGCCTCGCTGTCGTTAACGCTCTCGCCATTGGTCATCTCATCCGGCTCAATAGACGGTCGTTGGGCATGTTTGTCTATCTCCTTTGGAGAGGGAACTACTGTCGTCGTGTGGTGTCTTCCGCTGAGTCCATGTTCCTTCAAGAAATGATATGCATCGTCAAGGATAGCATGGCTGTTGGTTCCGCCGACACCAAAGCTATTGACAGATACTCTACGCAAGCCATCGCACGGCCAAGGTGTAGGATCTCTCGGGATGTGCAGATTCCAAGCGTCAAACCGGATTTTGGGGTTCGGCTTCTCAAAGTTGGCCTGAGGTGGGATTATACCATGCTCCAGCGCCAAGACGGACTTCACAATGCTACACGCACGTATTGTTAGTAGGCGTTCAGGTCTAGATTGATGATCGCTGAGGGACTCACCCCGCGACGCCAGCAGCGCCTTCCAAATGTCCAATACTCGCCTTCACGGAGCCCACATACAGCGGCTTGTCTTTCCTCCTCGAGGCAAAGGCCTGTGCTATGCCACGAGCCTCAATAGCATCTCCTTGCTTCGTGCCAGTGCCGTGCGCTTCAACGAACATCGTCTGATCGAAATCCAGCCCAGCAGACGCATAGGCAGCCTTAATGAGATCTGATTGCGCATCGCTGCTTGGTAGTGTAAGGCCGGGAGTATGTCCGTCTTGATTGATCCCGGTGCCCCGTACCACCGCTCGAATTGTGTCTCCATCTTTTAAAGCCGCGCTCAGGCGCTTGACAATTACTGTCCCCACGCCTTCTCCTCTCGCGAAGCCATTTGCTCGATGATCGAAGCTGAAGCATCGTCCATCTGGGGAGAGGAAGCCTTGATGGCTCATTCCCGCTACATCTCCTGGATAGTTGATGATTGTTACGCCGGTGACCACGGCCATATCGCTCTCGCCTGTGCGCAAACTTTGTGCCCCAAGATGTAGGGCAGCCATTGAACTCGAACACGCTGTATCGATCGTGACACTGGGGCCTCGAAAATCAAAGAACCAGCTGACGCGATTGCTGTGCATCGAATTCGTAAGTCCCGTAACGCGGTGACGCAGCGTCGTCTCGGGATCGCTATTAAGGATTGCCAGGTGGTCATGATTGAAGCCAGACACGAAGACGCAAGTATTGGAGCCCGCCACCTTCTCCATGGCCAGACCACCGTTCTCAAGCGCCAGATAGACATTTTCCAAGACGACTCGTTGTTGTGGGTCGAGAGACTGCGCTTCGCCTTTCGTGATACTGAAGAAAGGGGCGTCGAAATAGGCAGAATCTTCCTTCAAAAAGTGGCCACCTGGAGGATATCAACCAAAATCAGATTGCACAGCTTGTGCTTTTATGCTTCCCAGATGCGACGTACCCTTGACGGCAAATGTGCCACCATGCTCTGGATCAGGATGGTAATGACCAGCGCCGATCTTGTCTGCAGGAAATGGCGAATGTGCACATCTTTTGTCAAGCAGAAACTTCCAAAGGTTTTCTGTGCTATCTGCATCATCTGGAAAACGAGTGGCTAGGCCAATGATAGCCAAAGGTTCAGTAGCGTCTATCATGTTCAGTGTGAGAGGAGACTTCGTCTGGTGCAAGACGAGAAGAAGCGCATCAGTTGGGTAGGGATCCTTAGCGACTCTTCATTATTATTAAAGAGCTTTAGTAGTAGATATTCGAAATCTTGGATATAGCTTCATCAGAGTACGAGCGACCTCGGATATACAGATGCATAGAGATGCATGCCGCTCGGCGAACACGACCATTGCCTTCAGTTCCCGCCTATACGTCTGTCTCAAACTGCCGTCGCTAAGAACGCGAAGGAGCCATACAGTATTGGTCCCTAAGTCTATAGTGTTCGGCGAGTTGTCGAAACCGGAAATCCTTATCTAAATTACGCGTAGCGGCGTATATTAGTTAGTAGCGAAGTTGTAGATACTAATTAAGAGCTTCTATTTCCGACTAATCGTTCTATCCTTATTCTTTATATTTCTTAAATATTATATATAGATAGATTAAGATCTTCTTTATAAGATATATATAATAGAATTATTACTTTAGAGTAGATAGTAATAGCTAATATAAATAAACTCTCTACTATAGCTACTATCTATATATATAGAGTATTTAAACTAATAATAATTTAATAGATTTAGTAATTAATTTAAAGACTAGTAATTATAGTATTTAAAGAAAATTAATATAGTAGATACTATTCTTATAATATAGTTAAATATTTGAATTATATATTATAGAACCGTTCTATTAATTACTATAATTACTCTAAATATATTAGCTATCTAATAATTCTATTAATAGAACTAGAGCTACTAGTAGGTAGCTAGTAGATAGCTAGAGTAATAAGAGTAATTAATAGACTACTATCTCTAATTATATAATTTACTTAGAATAGAAAATATTTATTATAGTAAATATAGTTTTTTTATTAATAAATAACTATCGTAGCTCTAATACTTATAGAGATATAGAAATTTAAAAATTAAGATAATTGTACTAACTTATCTAAGCGACCTCTAGAAGCTCTAAGAACTAATACTTATATTCTAGCCGAATTATCGTGCTCTAGCCTTCGAGGGGTCGATTATACCTAACTTCGCCTTAGACTCTCGTAAGCGAGAAGTAAGTAAGCTTGTAGGGTCTGGGTAGAGATAGGGCCCTTGCTCTTCGTGACGTCTATCGAGGGGTCCCTTGAGAGCGATACTCTAGTGCTAGTCATCGAACACTGCCGAATGGTGGGGTCTATACGTAGGGTAGCTTATCTCTCCGCTACACTTCAGCCATCGGGGTCACGGAGTGAAAACAATGCCCGTTAGACTTGATAGGCTCTGGAAAATGCCGTCTGTCTAGACACTCGAAGAAGCTCTCCGCTAGGACAAGAACCGAATCGCCTTATTATGTAGGCATCGGTATGGTACACGAGGACTTACACCGCTGTTACGCTGTGCAAGCAGTACAGTAGCTCGTCATTGCCGCCGTCCTCCCTAGCGGACGGACTACTACTTACCGAACAGAATACCGCGGGGTATCTTGTCTACCCGGGGACCGAGAACTTCGAAGCAGGGAAGATGTGGGGAATTGGAATACGCGAGTCATTCAACGTGAGTGAACTCCGTATTGCAAATAGGATCGGTGATGCCTGGTTACTCTAGATCGTCGTTAGCGTAGAGATAGCAATTCTATAACTGCTTCAAGTTAAGGACTCGCTGGGAGATGCATTGGAGCGAGGCTACCGTAAGCACGCTCATTTTATTAGCTAGAATGGCGTTTGGTATAGTAGTGGCACATACCCGTGGGAGGTCAATGTGTCAAGCAATATGAGTGACATGGTTGGAAGATGTGACAGAGGTCCATGCTAACATGCTTCATCATTGCCTCCATTGTGCGCTAGTATTAGCGTGATAATAACAACATCCCTCACTTCTACCAACGAGAACGCGTCATAGTCACCCTCACCCTTTTAGTTTCCTGTACGTGTCCGTATGTTCTTGTTACTCTCTACGGAATATGTCTCTATACCGCGCGAGTCTCAATTTGTGAAACAAGCACCGACAACAACGTTCGTCAGGGCTTATCCAAAGTTTCTGCTAATGGGCGCACCGTTCCGAGCCCCAATGCCTAGGACAACCAGTCGAGTTCGAGTGTCCAACAACATGCAATCATGGCGATGCAGGAGAGCAAGACTGAGCCTCGTGTCCAATCAAACTGGCCACCACACCTGTCCGAGCCAGAATCCTGCCTTCTAGATGCTCAGATCTCCAATTCATCGACTACCAAGGCTACATATCTCGGTCTGTTCCGCTATGCAACTTGCAAAGATGTCGCTGTCATCTCCATCAGCGCCTTATGCTCCATCGTTGGAGGCGCAACGTTGCCTGTGATGAATCTTGTCATCGCATCCATAGCTGGGAATTTCTCGAAGTACTACCAAGGCCAGACCTCGAATTTCGCTTCAGAGATGGCTCGACTGACGCTCTACCTCCTCTACCTTGCTATTGGACAATTCTTCACGATATCGGCGAGCATTCTCGGGTTTACGTACACTGGCGAGAAGATCACCGGGCAGATTCGCTACCATTACCTGGCGAGTTTGCTAAGGCAGAATATTGCATACTTTGACAACAATGGCGCTGGAGAGGTTACGACTAGGATAACAAGTGACACGAATATGGTGCAAGAGGGCATATCGGAAAAGCTGGGGATGTCTTTGAAAGAACTTTCCACCTTCGTCGCAGCGTATGTCGTCGGCTTTGTAATAGATTGGCGGTTGACGTTAGTCCTCACCTCGACCGTGATTGCCATCTCAGGAATTCTTGGTGGGCTGAGCCAGTTCGTGGTGAAGTGGAGTAAAAAGTCTTTGGCTTGTTATGCTGAAGGGGGCTCTCTTGCCGAAGAGACCATGGGCCCTAATTCGATCCGCAATGTTCTGGCGTTCAGTCTGCAAGACACGCTGGGGAGACAATATGAAGGGCATCTGAAGATGGCAGAGAAATTCGGCTTCAGGATGAGAAGCGCAATTGCTGCCATGGCTGGCTTCCTCATGTTCTGCATTTATTCGACATACGCACTTGCATTCTGGCTTGGAAGCCGATACCTAGTCAGTGGGCAATCGACATTGCCTCACATCTTAACTGTGCTACTTTCAATCATGAGTCAGTCTCGAAGGCCATTTTACGGCTGCATTTGCTGATTTCCTTCAACAGGCGGCGCCTTCGCTCTTGGGCACGCGGGCCCTAATCTGCAGGCTTTCACGACAGCCACCGCGGCGGCCGCCAAGATCTACAGTACCATAGACCGCCAGTCTCCCATGGATCCAGCCTCTATAGACGGTCTGAACATCTGTCCGCACGCCCTCCGCGGCGCCATTGAGTTCCGTGGCGTTAAGCATGTGTACCCTGCCAGACCCGATGTCACAGTGTTGCACGACCTCAACCTCATGTTTCCGCCGGGCAAGACAACCGCGATAGTTGGTTCTTCAGGTAGCGGAAAGTCTACCATCATCGCTTTGTTGCAACGCTTCTACAACCCCGTCGGCGGACAGGTGCTTCTTGACGGGCTCGATCTTCGTGAATTCAACATCCGTTGGCTTCGGCAGCAGTTTGGGTTGGTCTCGCAAGAGCCCGTCCTCTTCGACACTTCAGTAGCAGAAAACATCCGGTTTGGCCTCATCGGTTATGGTTTCACAGACAGTGAATTAGAACCCGTCATATCCGATGCCGAAGCCATGGAGTTGATCGAACAAGCTGCTAAGATGTGCAATGCAGACGAGTTCATTCGACGGCTCCCCAATGGATACCGTACCAACATTTCGGGGGCTTTACTGTCTGGTGGACAAAGGCAGCGCATTGCCATTGCTCGGGCCATAGTAGCCAATCCAAAGATCCTTCTACTCGACGAAGCGACGTCAGCGCTTGACAACAAAAGCGAGAAGGCCGTTCAGGCTGCCTTAGAGAATGCCGCAAGAGGGAGATCTACCGTCATTGTGGCACATCGACTGAGCACCATACGAGGTGCGCACAACATTGTGGTAATGGATGGAGGCCGCGTGGTCGAGCAAGGCACCCACGAGAATTTACTGCGACAGCAAGGAGTCTACCATTCTCTCGTCAGAGCGCAGCTGCAGGAAGGCTCAGAGGTCCATCAAGAGCCAGAGTCTCTCGACATCTTGCAGGAGGCGAAAGGAGACTATTCCGTCAAAGAATCGCCAAGCCGATTCTCGTCCGATTTCGACCCCGAATCGAAGGCACCGCCAACTTGTGGCTCTGCGCCTTCAGAGCAGCCTTCACTCTGGTCTGTGATGAAATTTGTGGCTTCTCTGAATCAGCCCGAACGGCGCGTCATGCTTCTAGGTCTTGTTTCATCCATCTTCTGCGGCGCTGGTAATCCCATGCAGGCCATCTTCTTCGCAAAGTGCATTGCTGCGCTGTCGCTTTCGGCGGACCGCTTCGGTGAGCTGCGATCCCAGGTCGATTTCTGGACCGGCATGTTTCTTATGTTAGCGCTGGTCGAGCTATGCTTCCATCTATTAGCAGGCATCTCGTTTGCTTGGTGCAGCGAAAAGCTCGTCTTGCGTGCGCGCATGCAGTCCTTTCGCAGTATGCTTGGGCAAGACATGGCTTACTTCGAGGAACACTCTGTCGGCTCTCTGACCTCCTTTCTGAGTACGGAGACGACACATCTAGCAGGCATCTCCGGTGTGACCTTGGGAACGATCCTCAACGCTGCATCGACGCTTGCAATTGGTTGCATCATTGCAGTAGCAATTGGATGGAAGCTTGCACTAGTATGCGTAGCTACAACGCCGATTGTCTTGGGATGCGGTTACTTGAGATTCTCGATTCTCAGTCGGCTACACTCCAGCGCCATGGCAGCTCAAAGTGTATCTGCTTCGTATGCCTGCGAAGCCATCTCCGCCATTCGCACCGTGGCCTCGCTGACTCTCGAAGCGGAGATCACCAGACGCTACCACGAGCAACTCGTCGAGCAGGCCCGGAAAATCAGGTCCATCGTTTGGACGAGTGCTCTTTTTGGAGCCTCGGAGGGCCTCATGACGCTCTGCGTGGCTTTGGGGTTCTGGTATGGCGGCAAGCTGATCGGCGAAGGCGAGTACTCGGTGTTCCAGTTCTTTGCCGCTTTTATGGCGGTGGTGTATGGCTCGGAAGCCGCTGGCACCGTTTTCAGTTTCGCTCCCGATATGGCAAAGTCCCGGGGTGCCGCTGTCGAGGTCCAAAAGCTCCTGAAGCGCAAAGCTCCCATCGAGAGTTCCGCTGGTGAGCCCGTCCATGATGTGCAAGGGCAGATAGAATTCCGCAACGTGCACTTTCGATATCCAACGCGGGACGAGCTGGTCCTCAAGGGCTTGGATCTGAACATTCAACCAGGCCAGTACGTCGCTCTCGTCGGTCACTCGGGCTGTGGCAAGTCGACGACCATTTCGATGCTGGAAAGATTCTACGACCCGTTGATCGGTCAAGTGCTATTGGACGGCAAAGACATCTCCACGCTCGACGTCAAGACCTATCGCAGCCACTTTGCCTTGGTCTCACAGGAGCCGCGACTCTACAAAGGGACGATTCGAGACAACATCGTACTCGGAAGTGACGAGAGCCAGTGCAAAGAGGAAGACATCATTCGAGTCTGTCGAGACGCCAACATCTATGACTTCATTGTGTCGCTGCCCAGCGGGTTCGATACGGATGTTGGAAGCAAAGCGATCATGCTCTCCGGTGGTCAGAAGCAGCGCATTGCGATTGCTCGGGCACTTTTGCGGAATCCTCGTATATTATTGTTGGACGAGGCGACATCTGCAATTGACTCGGTATCCGAGCAGGCGGTCCAGGCTGCGCTGGACAATGCCTCCAAAGGTGAGATTCGCCCCAGTCACTATCACAACCGCCTCATATGCTGACTCTCAACTCCAGGCCGTACGACTGTAGCAATCGCTCACCGACTCTCTACAATCCAGAAAGCTGATGTCATCTATCTCCTGGACCGTGGACGCGTAGCAGAGTGCGGAAGCCATGCGGACCTGATGGCCAAAAGGGACAAGTATTTCGAGCTCGTTCAATCACACGCCCAACAGCAAGTACCGTAGTCAGACTTGTGCAACCCGATCACACCGCTCACATTGCGATACGAGAGACTCGCACAAGCCTTCGCACCGTTCGGCATGATCCCGGCGTAACGATCCCTTCGAGCATCGGGGCCCTGGACAGCTCTTGATTTCGGCTACCGACAGCTTATGTTCCTAGATCCTTACCAAATCTGCCTCGTCTTGGCGCCCGTGGTGAAGGTCACATCCTTCAGGTTTCATGTCGGGCTTTCTTGGCTGTGACACATCTACCAACGGACCGAATTCGAGATTTCGAACGCAAAAGGTCGAAGCTCCGTCCAGCTACTACTACGTACTGTCATGCGTGTCTGATCGATGTATGCAAGGGCACTAGAGCAATAGCCATACTAGTTTACAGCCTATTTGACGCTTCGGCAGTCTCGCGGATCACATCAGCGATCTGCTTCATCAGGAGTCGTCCGCGCGGAAAATCATGTCCAAACTCGTGGTGCATGTCTTCCGCCTCGTCCTGATTACACAGTCCAAGAAGATGCAGGCCATGATGTGGATCTTTCTCGTCTTCTGCCGCACTGCGTATATGCACAGTCGGTATGTCAATCAATGGCGTCCCGTCAGTCCCCGTTTCCCACCGCGTCAGTCCATGGGTCCCATCACTCAGAAAAGCAGTGCCGTCTTCCAGCATCTTTCCTTCAAGCTTCTCGAGCAATCCCAGCAACTTGGCATGGTTGGCTTGATCTTCTTCACTTACTCCGTCCTTGTGCCTCAGCGCAGAAGGACGAAGGAACATTGATCTCGCCTGGTCTAATGCTGCGGTGGGATCGAAAGTGTCCCGCGAGACTTCCACGTCTGCTAGATTGAAAACCCGTAGAGGTGAAGCCCCGTTCACAAATACAGCGAATCTGAAGACAGGCTCGAGAGCGAATGGGTCTTGATCAACGATCAATTCAGCCGCGAGCGCTGCACCTCCGGAGTAGCCAAACACGCCGTCGAAAGGGCCTTCTTGGGTCAGAATGGCTTGCAGCTCCGAATGTGTTTGAGTTATCGACGCCGGGTCCAGAGGGTTGTAGTACGTGTAAAGCGGCGATTGAGAGAAATCGGCAGTATGAAGTGACCAGTTGCCTTCTGTGTGGCGTACCGTTCCTTGGATGAAGACAAATTCAAAATCTTCTAGATGGGCTCGAATCGGAGCTGTTTGCATGCGAAAGATCTGTTGTCAGTCTCAGCAAGCGGAATTGAATGTACTTTCCACATTGTTGCGTACTTCGTTATTACTACCTCGTCCATGGAGGCAGAGGATCTTCATCTTGAGTGTTGGAGAACGACAGACAGTTGGAGTTCTTACGAGCATTACGAGCAGCCACATCTTGAGTACACATCGGCTAATTAGTGGCATGAAGCAGGGCCAGGTCCTAGTCAGCGGTATCCCCAGCAACCCTTGGCTCATCCCAGTAATAGCTTCCCTCTGTGAGGCATTGGGTGTCGTGATGAAAAGACCAACTTCACTTTCACCAACTTATCAACTGTCTTCGGCACCAATCACCAGAAGACTTTGCAATGGCAGCGAAATGGTTTCATTCCAGCGTAGCCTACCAAATATGGCCAGCGTCCTTCCAAGACTCTAATGACGACGGAGTCGGAGACATCCAAGGAATCGTTTCCAGAATTCCATACCTCAAAGAAACGCTCTCAATCGACATGCTGTGGCTTTCACCTATCTATAATTCTCCGCAGAAAGACATGGGCTACGACGTCTCGGATTACGAATCCATATATCCCAAGTATGGTACACTGGACGACTTTGACGACCTGGTCACGGAGTGCAAGCAGAGAGGCATCAAAGTCGTGATGGACCTTGTGGTCAACCACACAAGCGACCAACATCAGTGGTTCCTCGAGAGTAAGCGAAGCAAAACGGGGAAGTATGCAGAGTGGTACCACTGGAGAGACCCAAGATACGATGATGGAGGAAAAAGACATCCACCCAACAACTGGCGTACCGGGTCAAGGTATGGCAAGAGTTGCTGGACCTACGTTCCGGAGCGGGATCAGTATTACTTCCATTTTGGGACGCCGTACCAGCCTAACTTGAACTGGGAGAATGCGGACACGAGAGAATCGATATACCGGAGTGCCGTGGATTTCTGGTTGAAAAGAGGAGTCGACGGCCTAAGGATGGATGTCGTAGGGTTTTACTGGAAAGACCCGGACTTCCCAGATGCCCAGGTGGTGTACCAAGAAGAGGAATTGCAGCCGCTGGATGGCCGGTATTGCCACAACGGGAAAGCAGTTCATGTCTGGCTGACAGATTTGCGCAAACGTGTCCATAGGGAGCATGGAGATGAGATCGTCCTGATAGGGGAGCTACCCGGTACCGGCCGCGATGAATTTCTGAAGTTCATTGCACCGGCTTCCGCGGAGTTGGACATGGCATTGGATACAGACATTTTCATCACCGGCAACAGCTGGATCGACGGACTTCACGAACTGAAGAAACCTGACCTGCCTTTGTTGAAAGAAGCCGTATCGAAGACGCAAAGCATGTTGGACGAGGGAGCCTGGCCGACTGTATTCCTCGAAAACCACGACTTTGCCCGAAGCGTGACTCGATTCGGACCTGGAGATGGCCCCTTCCGAGACGCAGCCGCCAAAATGTTGGCTTTGATGGCGATAACATTGTCCGGAACGCTCTTCATCTACCAGGGCCAGGAGATTGGAATGACGAACATTCCACCGAGCTGGACCAAGACGGATTTCAAAGACCACGCCGATCTGGAGCGTATTGCAGACATTGACGACGAAAAGGCCAATGAGTTGAGGGAAGCATCAGAGAAGGCTCTAGCGACATGGGGAAGAGACAATGGCCGTACACCGGTGCATTGGTCAGCGGAAGCACATGCGGGTTTCAGCAAAAGTGAGCCGTGGATCAGGGTCAATGAAAACTATGCGCAGATCAACATTGCCGATCAATTAGGGCGTAAGGACAGCGTGCTCGCATTCTGGAAATTCCTGATCCAGGTGCGGAAAGATTGGTGGACCGAGCTATTGACACGCGGAAGATTTCGGCTGTTAGACAAGGACAACAAGCGGACCTTCTCCTATCTCAAGAGCAATGCGGAGGCTACTGAGCAATTGCTCGTGACGTTGAGCTTCTGCGACGACGAGACAACAATGGGCCCGGTCGATGCCATTCCAGGTCGGCGATGGAAGCTCTTGGTGAGCACGTACGCAACGATGGAGGAGGAGCCTGAGGGCATGCTTAGACTGCGGCCGTGGGAAGGCAGGCTGTACCAAGCGGCGCTGATGGATGATTGACGCTAGCGTCGATTGATAGGCATGTGATTCTGAAAGTGAATGAACGAGGGAGGGCAAGAACATGAACGAGAACGAGAACGAGGGCGAAGAGGGCACGCGCTGGTTCGGAACGGGTGTTGCCGTTCCGAGGTACCCTAACCACTACTATGTTGACTAAGCAAGGTGATGATTTCTTTTCACCTCACCTCACCTTACCTCAGGCTTTAGATGCACTGCTACCTAAACATTATAAACGTCGAGAGAGATCGCGAGTTTATTATTGCATACAAAGGTATATAGAGCAATAATATCAACCCTAGTCTTATATACTATTAATTAAGGGAAAGCATAAAAGCTAATTAAGCGAAGAACAAAACTATAGTACTCTTAATAGATTATTACTCTATCTTTTATATAAACTCTAATAAAGGAGACTAAGCCTTAATAAGTAAGGCTCGCTTTTAACGCGTTTTCCTTTCTATATATTTACTATAATTTATAGCTATATACTATAATAATTCTAGCTAGCTATAGCCGAGAACTCTAATACTACTAATATACTCTCTTAGTAAGGACCTTACGTCGTTACTAATATCCTTCTACTCTTTCTCTAATATAAAACCTAGCTTAGTCTTAACTATATTCTTAAAGCTCTTAATAGCTAAGTCGACGCGCTTTATAAGTATATTAGTTTTCTTATTCTTATTACTCTTATACGCTAACTACTAGCCTCTATAGTTAATAATAGGCGACTCTAGCTCGAGAGAGATATCGATAGCCTTTCGCTTACGTCTAGTAGTCGAAGGATCGGTTATAAATATACGCTTAGTTTCTTCGAAAGTTAGAGCTATAAATTTACTAGTCGCTTTATTAATATTCTAGATTCTTAATAAGTACTAGATATAGGTAACGAGAGGTAAGAAGTTACTCTCTTTTCTAGCCTTTAGTTACTATACGACTTTATTAATATTCTCTAGCTACTTCTTCTAGTCGCTATTATCCTTTACCTCTAGCTCTATACCTTCTATAACTCTTATTATTTACTCTAGGAGTTTCTTAAGAAGGTAGGCGATACTCTAGAGATTAGCGACTTCTAGTCGAGAATAGATACTTAAGTAGCGGATCTTAGTATTAGTCTTTAACCGAGATTCTAGAGTAATATTAATATTATTTAGGATATTATTATAGAGAGAGAGGCGCTATTATCGAGATTAGTCGTTAAGATCGGCTTTCTTCTAAGCTTCTAACGAAGAAGTCTTATTATCTAGAGCTTAAGTCGTCAACCTACTATAGGTACTACGACTCTTAGATAGAGTAACGACCTATCTCGAGCGTAAAGAGCGAGAGTATAGTATATTATTATTAGTATCGTTAATATTATCGTCGTCTTCTTCGATAAATAGACTAGCTCTCTTTAACTTAAGCTTAGTCGGATCTAACTATAGATTTCTACCTAGTAGACGACTACTATAACTACTACTACGAGTCTTTAATAATAAGTTCTCGACCTATAACTAAGATCTAGGTTATTTAGATTAACTTCTTATTAAGAACGTAGATTTAGTAAGCTCGAGTAGGGAGATAGGCTAATCTATTATATCGTCGCTAGTATTACTAAGATCGCTATTATCGTTCTCGTTATCGAAGTAGACTTATTAACCGATAGAAGAGATAATATCGTTAGGTTCGAGTATCTTCTATAGAGTTTAGAATATTAGATCTTCTAGTAGAGCGTTAGGTAGCTTATTAAACTAAGAGTTAAGCTAATTATTAAGCTACGATTCGGACTACTTATTATTAAGATTATTATTTAGTAGATTCTCGAGAGAGTTAATAGGCTTAAAACCCGATTCTTCTTAGTTAGATATAATAAAGGTAAAGCTCGAATACTAATAAAGCTACGATTAATAGTCGATATTATTATATAAGAAGCGGAGTAATTACTATTAATAATTACGTATAGTCGATAGGCGAGAGCGGTTATTATTCGAGTTTAAAGATTACTATAGCGAGAAGCTTCTTTTATAGCTATAGCTAGCCTATACGCTATTATTATAATTAGAATTCTCGTCTTACTTATACCTTCTATATTCGTCGATTTTTACTTACGCGCTTATTAACTAATTCGAGCGCTCGTTATTTACGTCCGTACTCGCCTTAGTTCGTCGCTTAATCTCGATATTTAATCTAAGATTAGCGAGTAACGTAGTACCTAAGTTACCTTATACTCGTCGATTCGGATCTACTAAGAATAACTCGTTTACTCTATAATCGACCTCTACCTTAGTCGCTTATTATATTATACTAGTAACGGTCCTAGTAGTTAGAGTCTAGATATCGTCGACTTCCTCTAGCCCTATTAGAGCTTTAAAGGCTTTATACTATTAACTCGTTAGTAACTTAGTAAATCTATTAGCTAGTATATTAGTAGTACTTAACTATTCTATATCTAGTTTACTATTAAGATATCGTTCTCTTAACTAGTATTACTAAATATCTACGTACTATATCTTAGTATTAATCCTTCTACTAGTATTTATAATAACTCGGAGTATCTAACGATTATTATAGTATAGTATCGCTTATTACTCTAGGCGTAGGCCGAGATTATCTAGGATTCTTATCTACTATATTAGTTCCGACCCGGTATAAGAGAGTCTATATAGTTCCGACTCTATTATAATAGATTACTATATAGACATAGGGATGTTAGTATAATGTCTAGGAATGTAGTAGTATAGGTATAGCAATATATACTAGAATAATCCTAAAGAGACTAAAGGTAGGTCGTACGATCTATCGATATCCGAGGATATATACTAAGTATTACGTAACTACCGGAGTAAGCTCCGGTCCGACTCGTAAGCTACTTGTAAGGGGTTCGTAAGGCCTCGCGTTATATAATCTCGCTACGTAATACAACCGGATCGCCTACGACCTACTTACGTATTATAGACGCTCCCCTTCTATATCGACGTCTACGTCGAATATACTTAATCGTCTCTTACGCTAATCGTAGGCGTGTAAGCCTAGCCTTTCGGGCTTAGTACGTCGTTAGCGATTAGCTAGCGGGGATCCTAGGCTTAGCGCTTACGTACGTCTTTATATATAACGCGCTAGCCTAGTAATTCGTAGGCGGATCGCTATACTATCGTACTATAATCCTTCTGCCTCTAGTAAACTCGAGTCGCTTTAGGGTCGTTCTAGAAGCGATTCGCTACCGAACCGTTAGTCTCTAGGTATAGATATTCTCGCTAGAGAGGAATCGTAGTCGGTTCGTAGGTACTTCGTAAGGCCTCCGTAGGGCCTTCGTATCTACGTATTTTGAACCTTAGGCTACAATTCTCCTACGTAGTAATCGGTTGCCGCTCTAGAGTCTTCTAGAGGGTTCTACCGATTCTACGGGACTCTATTTAGTAAATCCGCTAGTAAATCGTATATAGGTAGTTACTAGGGTAACGCCGTATAGTAGAGCTATAGAGATTTAAGGAGCTTCGGTCTTATAACTCGTCCTAAATCTCTATATACTCTACTACCTACGTACCCTTACACCTACATACTACTCTTTAGCTCTTCGCCTACTTCTACCTATTACTCGCAGTTAACTACTTCTTCTCGTATTAGGTAGGTTCGGCGCCGGTCCGTAAGCTATTCGTAGGCTAACCTACTTATAGCTTCTTATATACATTTCCGTACCGAATTACTAACGAGTCTTTAATATAGCTAGCGCTTACCTATACCTTCCCTTATTTATCCGTAAGACTAATCTATTAGAAGATTAGTACTTCGTTTAGGAAGATACCGACCTCGATTATAATACGCTACGAGTCTACTACTACTATAGAGTCTATAGTAAGAGTATCGCTAATAGGCGTCGGTATAGTAGACTAGGCTACCGAGCCTATAGGTACTACGTACGCATTTATAAGGCTAGATACGAGTTTATAAGTATCGCCTACGGTTCGTAAGCGATTTAGGGGCTAACTCTCTACTAGGTTAATATCGATATCTAGGGCCGTATAAACTGCCTACGCGAGTTACGTATTAACTATAAGGATGCCCTTTAGGGGCTTCGCGACTACCTAGATATCGAGGAACTTACGCGCGAAGATATACTATACGATACCGACACGTTTAAGGCGGGGCTCTAGCTAGCTTACGCCTAGCGCTCTCTTAACCGCTATCTCGCCTATTAAGAGATATATTATCGACGTACTAGCTAAACGGTAGGGCTCCGCCTTAACTGTCCCTCTTCTTCGGTAGATATAGTAGCGTTAATACTATAGGAGGAGATACTAGCTAATAGTACCTACGCCTCTTAGACGATTAGTAACCGGGTCGCGGGCCCTAACTTAGTAAGGCCCTACCCTACGATTCGGCTACGAGTCTTTTACTAATATAACCGTAGGAGAACGCGACTATATACTCGGGCACGCCTTATCCGCGTGCTCGTAGCCGCTCTACTAGCCTCTCGCGCGCTACCGGCTCTTATATACTAATTTACGACCGAAAATTATCCGTACGTAAGGGCTCTAGTTCGCGTAGTTAGTTCGCTAGTTATTTCCTTCTATAACGAGCCTCGCTAGAAGGATAAAGAAAAAGAGGATAACGAAGAGTTCGGCGGGTATAAGTCGGATTACGATCCGGAGAAGGATAATTAGTACTATAACTATACGGAGGCCGAGGACTGCCTTACGACTCGTAGCCGTTCTAGTAGCCCTAACTCCGTCGTCCGTCGTCTCTTCCGCCGTAGTAGCGGTTCGCCTATAGGTAGCGCGCTAGCTTCTAATACTCCTAGTACTAGAGCTTCCTTCTCCTATTACTAGGCCTTTAGTAGGGGTCTGTAAGGCATCCGCGCTCCTAATACGTAGGTAGATCGTTACCTTGCTTCTTCTTCTATAATAGGCTATAGGCCTATTTCTTTTTCTACCCTACGATAAACCTACTAGTAGTTCGTAGGCGCTTCGGGTAAGTCCTACTATTAGTATATACTTATTTTCTTTGTTCTCTTTATTTTTACT